CTCCATCGAAAATGCGGCCCCCGTGGCTGGGCTTCAATCCCGCCACCTGCGGGTCCACAGCCGAGAACCCTAGCCACTAGACCTCTGTGGCGGGTGGCGCAGCAAGCTTAGCCTTCTCCTGTTTGTTCTTCCCATGCTCAACCATTAATTGCCCAGCAACTACTTCGACATTAAGCTTCTCCGCTCTCTGTCTACATGGCTATACCATAGGGAAATAGGTCCCGCTATATGTACGTAGCGCCCAAAGAAGTTTTCAAAAATTTCTAGAGCGCAGAGCACTGCGCTCCAAAAAAGATGGCGAAAAGATGAAAAGATGAAAAGGTGGCAGAAAAGATGAAAAGATGGCGGCTGCGGCTACTAGGGGTGTGATATACTGCCGGCGTTCGGCGATTGAAACAGAGCACTTTGGTCACGCGCTGAACGAGTTTAATGTAACTTTTTTGGGTCACAAAGTGCTCAAAGGGCGTCTTCGTGTTACTAGTTTTTCTTAGTAAGCCTCTATTTCTAAGCAAACTTTATTGAAGATGAAGTCACCAATACTCGCTTCTTTTACATTGTCGGGAAAAACTGTATTTTTAATCGTAATTAACGTTGTGTTACACTAACAAATCAAAATTGCTTGATCTTCAAGTGCAAACTGCCAGAACAGAGCATGTTTCCGAAATCTTTGGTGGGTGAAATCTCGTTTCACGTTTGCTGTCAAAGCGTTGCAGGTGCTTCACTCCAGCAATTTTTCTTTAATCTTGCTGCGGCAGACGCGGCCAAAGAGGGCTGTGCGGCTTGAGGTGTATGAGCCACTGAGTACGATCAGAAAGCGTCTACAACGGCTATGACGTCACTCCTCTGGAATGCGCACACCAGCAAGGCGCGCACTGTGGCTGCTCCTCGCGCATGCGCAGCGTGGTTCTTGTACATGCACGCGAAGCCGCTTTGACTCGGCTGTGGCTGACTCTACAAAAACACCAGTTAGAAAAATTGAACACATCTCTCAGACGAGCGTGTAGTATGCGAAGTATACGCAGCATGCAAAGCAGCCTTGGGTTCACTTGAAGTTCTGTAAAGAGGTGTTCTTTATTCGTCACTGTAGACTTTGATAATTTGCGCGCACAGCCACTTTCCGAGCACTCGCCTCCCCCACACTTATGCTCATGTCTTCATTCATACTACTACGCTGTGTGTGAGAGAGAAAGAGGAGTAAACGCTTTTATTATACAGAGCGGCGCAGCGCCTCTAGCGATCTCCACTAATACCAGATCACTTGCAGGAGTTAAGCGAGCGTTCTACCGCAGACCTATCTAGGAGGAGTAAGCGCTTGTCGCTTACTCCTTCTAGATAGGAGGAGTGAGAGCTTCTAGAAATTTAGTTACTCCTAGGAGTAAGCGCTCCTAGATAGGAGGAGTAAGCGCTCCTGGAAAGGAGCGCAGTGTCACTATAGCGGTCTCCACTGATACCAGAGCACGCGCTGGAATGGAGCGAGCGCTCTACAACAGAACCATCTAGTGGGTTCTACAAGTACTAGCGTGGCTATGACGACGTGCAAGGGAAAAGCTCTGACCATAGGCTGCTTCGCATCTAATAAGAGGCCGGATTGCTTACCTGCATATATTGTTCAGTCGCTATCCGCATAATACCTGGGGCTTTGATAAATGACCGTTTTCTGTTAATTGAATAGCAATACCCCAAGAAGGACCAAACAAAGCGCCAGCTGGTACAGATATATCTCGAGTAACCTCAAGCACGAATGCAGCGACAAAAGATAAAGGAAGGGAGGTTCATGCGTATGTTCTAAAATAGGCGAAAACGTCCATACTATGTTAGATTCGCATCTTAGAGATAGAAAAGGAAAGTAAATTAAAAAAAAACACACATGCATTTTCATTTACACAGGGCTGGTTCGGTGCCCTTTTCACTATGCTTTAAATGTCCAGAACAAAAAAAAAAACATTGATCACAATTCACTAACTTGCCGTCCTTTCTCTAGCCAGGAAAAAATATCTTGACATTCTATTGAGACACTTTGGAATAACTCTTCACTCAGAAAATATTATTTCTTTGTAGCTTTTTCTCTGGCACCCCCCCCCCCCCCAAAAAAAAAATGAGCATTTGTTACCCATATGTGATTTCTTCGGCGACACAGAGAGGAGAGAGTTTTTTCTTCAAGTGTTCATGAACTGTTGCTCGCATCGGTTCCGAGAAGTCATCAGGATACTACCGATACCATTTTTGATCACAGCGAGTGAGTTTTTGTCAAAATAAGAACAATTTCTTTTCCTGTGGAGCAGTGCCCTCTTTAACCCTAACGAGTGGCTCGGGAGACCGCGCTTTTGCTGGGCTTGTTCTCGCATGCGGCCGGCCCTTCGGAGTCCCGGTGCGCGGAATTATGTGCTCACGATGGAGTATGAAGTGCATGGAGAGGATATTTCAGAAGAAGAGTTTACTAAAGGTAAAGGTTGGCAGTCCGCTGGACCAGAAAAGCTGGCGCCAAAACACGCACTGCTGACACTAACGTGCCATCGTCGCAGCCGGGCGCACGTCGCGGCAAATCGACAGGCGCTGCGCTGAAGTCCAAAGTAATACGGGCGGAAAGATGCCCTCCCTTCCTCAAGATGACATCAAGATTGTGATCTGGCCGAGAGGTGGACTTAATATCTCGAAAGTTGGTGCACCTACGGTAGCAGACGCAATACTAGTTGCCGCTGGCATAAGCCAGGATGATTTGTGCCAGGATACTCTATGCCCGAATCTGCAGCAAAATATTATGGTTGCCAGTACTCCCAAGCGCGAAAACGCAGACCGATACGTTCGGATGAAGCAAATACTCATTTCAGGCAAGGTGCACGAGACTGCCCCACACTCCACTTGCAAAGGGGTCATTCGCAACGTCCCACATCAAGACGGCCCTGACGTCATCGATGCGAAGATGGTCAACACAAATAATATACTCGCCTTAGCAGCCAAGAGAATAGCCCGAACTGGCACGGTAATCATCGCTTTCGACGGGTATCGTGTACCGAACTTTGTCAGTTATGGACCAGTGCTGATGCAGTGCTCACTCTACCGCAAGCAAATCGATGTGTGTTATGCGTGCGGCCATCTTGGTCATCGCGCTGATGTGTGCCCCACTCCCGGTGACACGATTTGCCGAGGCTGTGGTGCCGCAAGCCCTGACAAACAACATGTGTGTACTCCCAAGTGCAAACTCTGTGGTGGCCAGCATCTCACGGCTAGCAAAAACTGTGCTCAAAGGTTCAAGATCCCGTACATTGTGCGCCGTCGTCGCAGTGGGCGTGCCAGAATGACTGGTGCTGCGTCACCATCCCCGCAACGTCACCTCAACACTGCGGACGAATTCCAGTCTTCGTCACCCACCACGGATGCTCAGCGCAGAGGACGCCCCCGTTCCAGGGGACGCTCGGGAGGCCGCTCCGGATTCAGGCACCGTGGTGCCTCCAAGGGATGTTCCGGCTCGCACTTCAGGTCGACAGAACGTGCCAGGGGAAGTTTCATTTCTCAACCTCGCTCCAACTCAAAGCCGGGGCACGTTTCGTCGGGACCGACCAGGTCCCGCTCCCGCACGCCCACCACCTCTAACAGCAAGTAGCCGACGCTCTCCTGGGCCGACAAGGCTCGAGGAAGATGTGAGTCTCCTAGAGGCGACGAATCGAATCGCGGTTCTCTCCACGCGAGTGAGCTCGACAAGATGCAACGAGCTAACGAGCAGCTGAGGAAGGAAAACGCGCAGCTTAAGCAAGAAATGAGCAGGCTAGCAGCGGAGATAGCGGAGATTAGAAAGATCGCGTCTTCGCCCACTTCGGCGCAGCCCTCCCCAACCCCGGTCGCAATGGATACGTCTGAGGCACTTCATAGGCCTAGCGGAACCAAGCGCCGAGCAGTTGAGAACACACAAGAAGAAGAGGCGGTAAACTTACTGTCGGAACTCAAGGTTTCCTTTGTGAACATGCAGGCTACCTTAGTGAAAATTCAAGAAGCCGTGGAGCACCCCAAGATGGGATTAAGAGCACTGAGTGAATGCATAAGCAAGTTAGAAGAGGTCGATGTGAGGAAAGACTCCGGTCCGACTCCTTTGCAGGTCCCAGCAAAACGCAATATACTAGCGCCACCGACTGAGGGCGCGATCCTCGGGGCTGCTATAGCGGCTCAACCATCCCCTCAGCCTAAACATGGATAGTGTGGACGAAAACTTCAGAATCTGGCAATGGAACTGTGGTGGGTTTACTGACAAAACGCCCATTCTACAGCAATATTTAAGAACTCTCGAGGTTAAGCCCCAAATCATCGCTGTTCAGGAAGTTGCGTCTGGCCCCCCCATCACACTCCCGGGTTACCTATTAGCGTCATCACATTCAGGAGGTAGGGGAGTTGCCACACTTATCAGCAAAAGGTACAATTACATATAGCGTGACCTCGGTGCAGTTGTCGATGGCATTGAGTACGTAATGACTGCAATTATAATGAATTCAACCAAGAAGGGTCTTTTAAGAAATAGCCTTTTTATTCTCAGCGTATACTACAGTCCCAGTTATCGCAGGGCGAGAGCAAACTCTCTCCTCAAAGGGCTGTGAGCATGGCCAGTAGTTACCCCCTTGTAGTTGTAAGGGATTTCAACGCCCCACACAGCGTGTGGGGGATACATGTATGATACCCCCAAGGGACGGGAGCTATGGCAGACTGCGACAGAAGCCGACTTGATGCTTATAACTGACAAGGATTTTCCCACTAGGAGAGGTAACTCCATATGTCTGGATACCACCCCGGACCTGACTTTTGTGAAGAACATAGATGGGGTCAAATGGGTCAACACGGCTCTAGACCTCAGAAGTGACCACTACATCATCGAGGTATCCTTCGCGATTGCCCGCTTTAGGACGAAAAAATTCAAGGTGGTCGACTGGGACGTTTTTCGCGAATTCAGAGCTGAGAGAGCACCGACGGCTGGGACAGACTTTGAAGGATGGTGAAAAGGAATCAGGGATGACGCCATGGCAGCGACCAAGGAGGTCGTCACTGACCTCGATGTTGAAAACATGGACAGCAGGTTGGCACACCTACTAGAAGCCAAGCAAGCCCTACTCACGAGGTGGAAGAGACAGAAGCATAACAGGAGGCTCCGCAAGAAGGTTTCCGAGGTTAACAGGGCGATCGAGGAGCACTGCAAAACCTTGTGTAAACAACAATGGCATGAGCTCAGTGAGAGCATGGAGGGTCAGCTCAGATCTAGGAAAAGCTGGGGTGTCTCAAACACCTTCTCGATCATGGCAGCACCAGGTCCAGTCAGAGGTGATCGCTCGCGTGAGCCATCCATCTTGCTACTGACTCTACCCCGGAGGAATTGGTTGTCAACAAGCTTATAGACAGGTACCTGCGAGTCGCGGATAGCTCTGCACCCACACAGTTTCCGGACTACGCGGGGTGCGACGTGCCAGAGTTTGACCAGGACTATACTGTCACATGGTCGTGACGTGGCCGAAGAGAGGAGACTTCGTGTTGGGATTTAACTGTTTATTTGGGTCAACCTGTGCCCGGTAAAAGGAAAGTCCAATTACAGCAGCAGTCTCGCACAGATAGCAGTCTCAGACTGATAGGGGCGAACGGAGCGTCGGCTTTCGATCAACAACTGACAAGAAGTGAAGCGCGTAGGCATTTATACTCTTGCCGTCTTATGTTCTAGCGTTATCGCTGGCGGTGGCGTAGGTTCCAAAACGATCTGTACCGTTCGCACAGCGGGCGTGATCTTATCAAAATGATCTACTACAGTCCGGAGGCTTCTCGAAAACTGCAGGCGCGGTTTGCGCTGAGAATCGTGTGGTGTTTTGGAACGATAACAAAAACTTGGGAAATGAAACGTGGCATTGCCCCCGTCTGAAAAAAGGCATCGTGCCGATGCTTTGACTAAAGATGAAGGTACAATAATAATGCAAGAAAGTGCAATTAATAAATCACGATACAACAATAATACAAAAAACACTGTTTCAGTTTGTGAACGCGCATGAAACGGCTTGAGGCGCGCGACATGGACGACTTCAGGTCGCGATCAGCGTCGTCGAGAGTTCGTGATGCCGTCGGGGACAACCTCGTAATCAAGTGGGCCGAGACGTCGAACCACCCTGTGCGGTCTGAAGTACCGTCGCAGAAGCTTTTCACTTAGTCCACGTCGGGGTATCGGCGCCCACACCCAAACACGTTCACCGGGCTGGTATTCCACGAAGCGTCGTCGAAGGTTGTAACGGTGGCTGTCGGTCGTCTGTTGATTCTTGATACGGAGACGCTCAAGTTGTCGGGCTTCTTCGGCGCGTTGAAGGTACTCGCTCACATCGAGGTTTTCTTCGTCGGTGACGTTGGGTCACATGGCATCGAGCGTCATTGCCGGGCTCCTTCCGTAGACCAATTTGTATGGAGATATCTGTGTCGTCTCCTGCACCGCCGTGTTGTATGCGGAGGTCACAAACGGAAGAATGGCATCCCACGTCTTGTGTTCGACATTGACGTACATTGACAGCATGTCGGCGATCGTCTTGTTAAGCCGCTCGGTGAGGCCGTTGGTCTGTGGGTGGTACGCTGTCGTCTGGCGGTGGTTTGTTTGGCTATATGCCAAGATCGCTTGAGTTAAGTCGGCAGTGAATGCCGTTCCTTTGTCGGTGATAAAGACCTCCGGGGCGCCGTGACGTAGGACGATATTTTCGACGAAGAACTTAGCTACCTCGGATGCACTGCCTTTTGACAGGGCTTTTGTCTCGACGTAGTGGGTGAGGTAGTCGGTAGCTACCACGATCCACTTGTTTCCGAAAGCCGACGTCGGGAATGGCCCCAGTAGGTTCATACCAATCTGCTGGAAAGGTCGGCAAGGTGGATCAATTGGCTGCAGAAGTCCCGCTGGCCTTGTCGGCGGTGTCTTGCGTCGCTGACAGTCCCGGCATGTCCTCACATAACGAGTGACGTCGGTGGTAAGACGTGGGCAGTAGTACCTTCTTGTATCCTCGCGAGCGTGCGAGAAACACCGAGGTGCCCTGCCGTCGGATCATCGTGCAGGGCCTGCAGGAGTTCTGGTCGCAGAGCTGAAGGCACCACAAGGAGGTACTTAGCTCGAAGCGGTGAAAAGCTTTTCTTTTGTAGAAGACCTTCGTATTCTCTTTCGTCGACTTCGATTTGCCGATAGCCAGTCTTGAGGTTCATTGACGAAAAGTACTTGGCGTATGGAGCCGATCAAGTGCGTCGTCTATTCGTGGGAGAGGATACACGTCCTTGTGATTTTGTTCAGGCGGCGATAAGCGACGCAGAAACGTAGGGTCCCATCCTTTTTCTTCACTAACACCACGGGGGATGCCCATAGATTCTTGGACGGCTGGTTAATGTCATCCCGCAGCATTTCATCAACTTGTCTCTTCATGGCCTCACGTTCTCGCGTCGAAACCATGTACGGACTCTGACGGGCCAGGTGCCGGGTGCCCTATCGAACCTCAACGAGATCACCCATGATGCAGTGCGCGCACTTACCGACCGCACTGCCACAGGGTAACCTCATCTTGCTGGGTTAGATACCAATCGGGATACACCAATCACATACAATGAAATTACAAAGCACTTTTACTTGGAACGCCGCATTTTCCCACCCCCACATCCAAAACTTAACCGACCGCAGACATTAACCCTACGCCTATTACAGACACACACGTACTCAAACCTTGCCACGCTTCACGTTTATTATCCCGATGCATACCCCAGCGACACATGCCCATCATGTTGACACACAGCGACACTCGCACACATGCTCTGGGAGTGTAGAACAACTCCTCCCGACTCTACCGCAAGCAAGTGGGAAAGGTCCCTCAGGAGCTCACTTCTCGCCGACCAGCAGTGGGCCGTCCAGCAGGCTCACGAAGCGGCCGCCTGGTACTCCCTGTCGGTCCCTACGTGGGAGACGCCCGCTACGCGCTAAGCGCGTCCTGCAGGACTTAAATAAACTTTTTTCATTCCATTACATTGTAGATGACCGTTTCGTAGAAAGAACGACGCAAGTGCGCGCTTGAATACCTTCGGGACTTCGGTGGTCCTGCCTTCGAGGTATTCTATTAGGGCCTTAAGTTCCGGGTCGGCCCGCTGTCGTTCAGCGAAGTCGTCAGTAGTTATCGTTCCCAAGAAGTAGTCGTCATCCGGGTCGTCGGGTAGCGGTTGGTCGACAGGCGCACGAGAGAGACAATCGGCGTCGGAATGTTTTTTGCCGGACTTGTAAATTACAGTAATGTCATATTCTTGAAGTCTCAGGCTCCATCGTGCGAGGCGACCTGAAGGGTCCTTCAAGGTGGCTAGCCAACACAAGGCGTGGTGGTCGCTCACAACATTGAAGGGCCTGCCGTAGAGGTAGGGGCGAAATTTCGACGTAGCCCAGATGATGGCGAGGCACTCCTTTTCTCTTGTGGAATAATTTGCTTCTGCTTTGGACAGCGGTCGGCTGGCGTAACTGATAACCCTTTCAAGTCCGTCAGCCATCTGCACAAGAACGGTGCCAAGACCTACGCTGCTTGCGTCAGTATGTATTTCTGTTTCGGCGAATTCGTCGAAATGGGCAAGTAACGGAGGCGTCTGGAGGCGATGTTTAAGCTCCTGGAAAGCGTGTTCCTGCGGCGTTTCCCACTTGAACTCCACGTCGGCCTTGGTAAGGTTAGTGAGAGGATCAGCGATGCGGGCGAAGTTTTTCACGAACCGCCTATAATAGGCACACAGGCCCAGAAATCGGCGCACGGCTTTCTTGTCAGTGGGCGGCGGTAAGTCGGCGATGGCGGCTGTTTTCAGTGGATCGGGACGAACTCCAGACTTGCTGATAACGTGCCCCAAAAACAAGAGCTCCTCATACGCAAATCTGCACTTTTCTGGCTTCAGTGTGAGTCCGGAAGTCTTGATGGCTTGAAGTACAGCTTCAAGGCGCCGAAGATGCTCGTCAAAACTAGACGAAAACACGACGACGTCGTCCAAGTACACAAGGCAAGTCAGCCACTTCAATCCTGCCAGTACTGTATGCATAACGCGTTGAAAAGTTGCAGGCACTGAGCAAAGGCCGAAGGGCATCACCTTGAACTCGAAGAGGCCGTCCGGTGTTATAAACGCCGTCTTCTCTCGGTCTCTTTCCTCGACTTTGATTTGCCAATAGCCAGTCTTGAGGTTCATTGACGAAAAGTACTTGGCGTTATGGAGCCGATCAAGTGCGTCGTCTATTCGTGAGAGAGGATACACGTCCTTTCTTGTGATTTCGTTCAGGTGGCAATAATCGACGCGAAACGTAGGGTCCCATCCTTTTTCTTCACTAACACCACGGGGGATGCTCATAGACTCTTGGACGGCTGGATATTGTCATCCCGCAGCATTTCATCAACTTCTCTATTCATGCCCTCACGTTCTCGCGTCGAAACCCTGTACGGCCTCTGACGGAGTGGTCTGGCATTTTCTTCGGTGATGATGCGATGTTTCGTGATTGGGGTCTGCCGAATTTTCGATGACGACGAAAAGCAATCTTCGTATTGCAGGAGCAGGGCCTTGAGCTGTTCTTGCTTATCGTTTGGAAGCCTGGGATTGACGTCGAAAGCTATTGGAGGGGCTTGGTTCCTCTGAGCAGGTTCCGCAGAATCGGCGAGGGCGAAAGCACTGGTGGCTTCGACAATTTCTTCGATGTATGCGACCGCTGTTTCTTTGTTCTCATGTTTGTACTCATTGCTGAAATTCGTGAGCATAACCGTTGCTTTGCCTCCCCGCAGCTCTGCAATTTCTCTTGCGACGCAAATATTTCGCGTGACCAACAGATGCTGACTACCTTCAACGACGCCTTCCAAGTCAGGTGATTTAGGAGCGCCGACTGAAATAATGACGCTTGAGCGAGGCGGAATGGTGACTTGCTCTTCCAGCACATTCAAGGCATAGTGTCCAGACGGCGTGCACGGTGGTAGTGCTTCTTCTGTGGATAACGTTATCGACTTTGTTTTTAGGTTGATGACAGCACCATGGAGGCATAAGAAGTCCATGCCAAGGATGACATCTCTCGAGCAACGC